CGGACTCAATAGTATTTGCGGTGCTGTGGTGCAGACGTTCAGCCAGCAGAGGGCCGTGGCCGCGCTATGCCCGCACTGTGCCCGCACTGTGCCGCTGAGGAGGGTTGAAGGAGGACGTGTGTGTGTTCAGCCGACTTCTTCTGTACAAATAAAGGTTTAGAAAAACGCATGAACTGGCTTCCAGTATCATCGCAAACACTGATTGGAATTTGCTCCTGTTTACATGCTCTGTGTGTGTGCGCGCGCAAGCGCGCATGGTCTGTGCACTGTTCCTTCACCAGGTAATGTGTCTGGGCATGACCCGGAGCCTTGTCCCTCTCTGTCATTCGTGGTATGCTGCCCTGCTAGGGGTGACATCACGGCCAGAGTCGTCCTCATGGCCCTCGCTCTCTGCGTCTGCTTATTGAATTAAGATGAGGGGGCGCCGAGAGATGAGTTTAGCACCTGAGCCTCACTGGAGCTGAAGGAAATTGATTTTACACTTTAAAAAGGCACAGAGCGGCTGTCTCGCAACCTCCGTGGGCACTGAGCCTGTGTGCGTGTGCGCGTCCCCGTCTGTAAGAACAGATGAAGGACTGAGGGTGAGTCTGCAGGTCTCTGAGAGGGTTTCAGAGGAAGAACAAGAGGGAATAAGGAATAACTCAAAGCGTGTGTGTCTGCGAGAGGGAGGGTGATTTAACAGACAAGTACGTGTCATGACCGAGGGCGAGGTTACATACCCGTCTCTGTGTGTGTCCCATAGGACTCTGTCTTTAGGGAGGCACCGAGTCAAGTCCTCATGAGAGCCCAGGGTGAACACTTATAGTGAACACTTGCGTGTTTGTGTGTGTTACCTTCCTCTGCTTATATGTACACAGCCCATAAAGCTTTCATGTTGGCTGCAAAGCCTCTTCTTGTTCCTGAAAGGGGGCCCTAGACCCCCAGAGGTCCTTCTGGAGGTGACAGGGGAAATGACATTGATAGGATTTAAGGACTCCACTCCAGTAAGGCCAGGTTTAAACTGTTAATGGTAGGGATGCAGCTAGCCATGATTTTCTCACTTTATCTATTTATAGTTTGACTTATAAAAAGGACAGAAAGGTGACATCTGATTTTGTCCAAACAACAGTTCAAACCCAAAATTATAGATTTAGTTTATATCATGTAAAACACAGAAAAGTAGCAAATAATTACAAGTTAAGATGTGATGAGAGCAAACATAAATAATGATTCAATTAATTGTCAATCTGATCTATTCATCGACTGTTTCCCCAGTTCCTCTCTCACCGCTTCCTGTATGTTCGCCATCCAAAAGCAAAACAACAACAAATATGTAAAACCTCCAGCTCCATCTGCTAACAAAGATGGTGAGATGTAGTGAAAGCTGAGAAAAGCGAGTAAGGCGACCTTTAAGTATTGATATTGTTAAGGTTTAGTCCCCCTCACCAGGAGGGTGAGGGAGAACTGAGGTAGGACTCAAGATTGCTGACCCAGGTGCTAGTAAAAAGGTGGTTTAATGGTGGGAATCACAAAAAGGAACAGAGTCAATGAACACATACAACCAGGGCTGGGCAAAGACGGCTGAGGAGACCAGGACGACAAGGGGAGTAGACAGGCTAACAGCAGAAACCAGGAGAGTGGGAGGAACAGGACGGACAGGTAAATAAACAAACTACCCAGGAGGATTGGCGAACGAAAAAGGAAATCCACAGCACAGGAACTGTCAGCGTGGAAAACAAAATGACGTATGATACATACCACGAATATAGGGCTGTTACGGGGTATGCACGTTAATGCTCCGGCGACGACAGAGCGTCTGCCAGAGGTATAAATAAGGAGGAAAGTAATCATCCGGCTGCACCCCAGCTGTGCGCACCAACAAACGAGTCGCTAATTACTGAAATGCAACACAGCATGAGGTGCAGATCCCGGAGGATCGAGAAAGCAGAGGAGAGAAAGGCGGAAGAGAGGCAGGTCGCGCCAAGCGGACCTGACAGATATGTTGCCACAAACAGCTCCAAAACATCAAGAATCAACCTTCATCCTTAAACATGCACCAAACAGTAGTACAACGTGAACGTCGTGCTTCTCTGAGCAGGATCAGACATCTGGGCAGTAACGGTGCCTTATGGCTCGTACTGCACACAGAACACAGGGTCCATTTACTGCAACATCCACTGTTTCCTTTGACTCCTAAAGACAGCGAACCGACATGAACTAGGCTTTATCGTCCTGAAATAATTACAGACTATTTGGGTGCAAAGCTTATCTAGACATACGCAAGATTAAACAGTAAAAGAGCAAAATGAGCAGGCATGGGGACTTCAACGAATACTACAGGATGCATCAGACCTAATACCTGGTACTGGTATCGGCACTGGGACATGACATCCTAATTTAAATGGATCCATATGCAAGAAAAAAAAGCTATCAATATATAATAACCTAAGTGTTTAATGCAACGAGCTGTGTCCCACTGTTGTTTACTACATGAAACAAAACCCTTCACACATACTAAGCAAAAGCTTATGTAACTACATGCGGTGGCTTTAAGTTAAAAATCCTTTTTTTGCCCAAGAGAAATATGTAACACAATAAGGTATTATGCAAAATGATATTATTGTCCAGTCCTAACACACAAACGCAGGCAGGGCTTGAACACACACCAGACTAAGACTGAACATGGTGACAAGCAAATGGAGTCTGAATCAGTCTAAGAGAAGAGCAGGGCCAACAACAACGGTCGCCTTCAGAGACTTAAACATGATTTAATCTAAATCTAATGATTTAATCTAAACATGTCTAAAGACAGTAAATGTTCAGGATTAGGACATCTCACTTTGACACAAAACACACTGTAAACCTCTTTAGAGAGTGTGTGTGTGTGTGTGTTGTATTGTGTGTTGCCGGACAATCGTACCCTGTGGCGTGTGTGTGTGTGCGGTGGTGGAGATTTATAGTGATCTGTGATGTTCTAAGGTTTCAGCCTACAGAAGTGTGTCATGGTTCTTAAACTGGCTGACACCTGATCCCCACGGATCATCTGCTGCCTGTCAGGCATCCACCTCCAACGAAACACACACTTACATAGTTTTCATGCGCAAACATTCTCCTTCTCTCTCACACTGTCCTCGTACAAGCCTCACATGAAGATGTGCCTCAAAGTGTTGGCACCCTTTGACCACTGACAGAAGTAACTGGCACCTACTATCCTCTGTTTCATAGAACAGCATGTTTTTAATTTCAGATTAAACATATTTTAAATAATACAACAAATACTGGGACCCTTAGCCCAAAACTTCTGAGACAAACGCTGCTTCATAGCTCTTAATGATACTCGTCCACTTGGACAAACTTCGCCACCTCTCTCAGGTTTCACAGGTGCCTCCTCACACCTCTGAGTTTCAGCTTCTTCCACAGACGTTCAGTTAGATTAAGAACAGGACTTGCTGTGTCCCGTGGAGATTCTTGTGAGCCAGACACAGAAGTAAAGTGTTCATTTTCCAAAGTAGCTTCCTGAACCCACACAGAAGGGCCAGACTGCTGTACAGCCACCGTCGGTACAGGTTGAAGCCACTGCCTGCCATCACATAGGTTTAGAAAAATCTGATTAGGGCACGTTTTCTAACCCCCTGCTCACACAATAGAGACCCGACAGGAAGCCGTTAGTTATGAACTGAACCTCAGAAAACAGTCACCAGCAACAACAGCTAAAACACCAAACATCAGTGATCATTTGAAAACCCTGTGCACAACCCCTGCTCCTGTTCCAGTGGTTCAGATGAACTCGGGTGGAACCAAATAACCACAGGTAGGTGCCTCACATTTCATGTCTCAGGTCTTTAGCCAGAGAACTGACACTTTTGCAGAGGTGTAATTTAAAACCAGGTGAATGCATGTCATCCATAAGTTATATATGTGTCTTTGAAGTGCAGTTAAAGGACTGACTGATGTGGTCAACACAGAGACTGTCAGACCAGATCCTGTGGCAGACTGACTGATTACCTGACTCGTGGTCTCGTATGCAGTAGTCTGGCGAGTCCTCAAAGTACACCAGGTCGTTCTTGCTGGGTCGCTTGAAGTTTGTGTGCATGGCAGTGAACCCGGTGCCGTACTGGTTAACAGCCACCTGCACGGCGTTGTTGTACCTCTTGCGAAGGTGATCGCCGGTGCGTTGGAAGTCGGCCATGGCCAACCAGCAGGTCCGGATACTGCACGACCCACTGACACCATGACACTTACACTCCAGAGTCATGAAGCGCCTCACTGCCTGGAGAGCAAACCGGAGAGCACTGTTAGGAGAGCAGCGCCGTTTTTATTCAAAACATGAGCTGACGTTCTGACAAACACTTGCCTTCCTCAGAGCTGAAAATACAACAGCGACCTACTTGTGTGTATGTGCATTATATTACACACACGCACACATCTGGAACAACCCGAAACATCTAGGACTTTACAATTATCAAAAATTAACAGTAACAGGCAAATATAAGAAGGCACACATCAAAAAGTAATGGCAGGAAAAATAATGACATTCAGAATACATACTTCACCCCTAGAAACAGTAATAATATGATCTGGGGAAGACATTCCAAAGGAAGGACAAGACAAATGGGTGTACAGGGACAATAAAAAACCAAAAGGATGTCCCAATCAAAGAAGGGTACATAAAAAATAGTTCCAACAAAAACGATACATTTAAAGGCCACACATCACAAAAATGAAGCCAATGAAAATCATCATTAAGGCCTCTGGGTTCCACTGTGTCCAAGTTGTAAATCAGAAAGCCTTGTGCTGTTTAAGTCTAGAAATAATGTCTCCACCTCTAGGAGAAGATTTAACATGTTCAACGGCAGTAAAGCACGAGGCAGCCGCTGATCCATGCAATAGCACAGTCCTCATTCTTATGACAAACGGCTGCCTTATGTTCAGCAGTGCACAGCTTTAAGGCTCTTTTCGTTTGACCTACATGAGCCATGCCACATGGGCAGCTAAGCATGTATTAAACCTCCTGCCAGTTTGTGAATGAAATTTAATATTAAGTTTTATCAATTCTAATACTACCAATGTCATTTATCATGCTCTGAATTATTAGGTTTTCATATTTCCACAGGTCAGCGCCTTCTCACCTTCCTGCCAGCTTGGTTGTTGTGCAGGTTCATCAGGGCCCGGGCGTCCCTCTCCTTCCTCTCCTTGGCGTCCACAAAGGCCTGGCTGAAGCGCACGGCATAGTCCACATGGTCACTGCAGCCTCCCCAGTCAAAAGAGCCCTTGGCGTCCTGCGACGAGCCCTTCTTAGTGGGATCACAAGAGCAGGAGTCCAGCTCGCCCCGGCTGCAGGCTCGTGCCAGTGTGTAAACCACTCCGGCTGAGGAGATGGCGTAGACGAAGGCCACCTCACGGCTGCCTGAGGGGAGAGGAGAATGTAAACTAAACGAAGGAAAGGAAGAAATAAACAAGGAAACGCACACAAAGGCAGGTAATTCACTAAATAATATGGTCGATTCAAAACACATTACCACCAGAAACAATCTTAGATGATTTAAGATAAAGTTGGAAACATTTTCACTCTGCAAATAATGGGAGAAACTTTGCTGTAAAGGCAAATGTAGTCTTCATCTGTTTAATACAGCAGTGATATAGCAGAAGTGTTCTGAATCTTTTGTGGCAATTCCAGGACAAATCGTCAGGATGTACCCAGTCTGTCATACAGTTGAGTCAACACATCTCTGAGACAGTGTGAACAAGATGAACAGGAATTTTCCTTTTCTGGTGTCTGGTGGCACCTTGTTGCTTTAGATTTAGTTTAGTCTCTCCAATAAATTACCAGCTGAGTGCATACACATCTTCAATTGATAAATGAATCAATTATCAGAACTGTTCATTTTCCTTCCCATGCACTAAACATACATACATATATATATATATAAAATACACCACAAGGCACATTATATATAACAAATCAATGGGTAACATGTTGGGCCACTTCACAAGAGCAGACAGACAGAGAAACCACTCAGCTGCACTGATGTGATAAATGTACAACTGTAAAGTGAAACGGTGGGGAATGTGAGCCAACTTAAAAAAACACATCTGCAAGGAAACGGTTTCCTAGAGAGTCTTGGTATCACAGCAAATGTACCTGACACTTTAAAAACTAATGAATTATTTAGATTTGTCAGCATTAAGCTGTGGCATATGGTCACGTTTGTCACTGCTAACAGACTGGTGTGCTATAACATATGTTTTAAATACATATATATATATGCAAAGTGTTAACCAGCACACAATGACCTGGAAACACAAGCCAGCAAATACCGTAGCCGGCAATCTAGTCCCAACTTTCTATTCTTAGACGTGCAGCACTCCATATCATGAGGCCACACACTTTTTGCACCTCATCTCTGCATCTACTGTGTTCATAAATAACATAATGAACCAATTATCACAGCATTACCTCATGACAAGTACTCAAAATCATGTTAAACTTGTATAAACGAGTCACACGACTGCTTCCCTACAACAAAACTCATATTTTCAAACTTAAGTTCAGATTTGATCAAATTAACTGAATTCAGACAGCTGTGAACTACAGTATCCCCATGAAACATTTAACCAGCCTAAATTTAAGCTGGAATTTAATGAAATATTCATCTGATGTCTACACACAGAGACAAGATGATGTGATTCTGAACCCCCCAAGCCTGTAAACCTTCATTTTTCTCTTGCCTATCTGACAGAGGGATCAGAAATGAACTCCAGGACAGCAGCCCTGGAGCTGAGGCTCACTGACTTGATGTTGGCGGCACGTCCACAGGCAGGATGCCTGCTGGACAACTGAATAACTCCCCTGCTGCCTGAAATTCCCCAGAAAAATGACTTTAGAAACCACCATTATCTTAAAATTTGACGTTTTTAGACTGAAGTAGAACAAGTGTCTCCTCCACTCACTGCGTAGCAGCAGGCGTCCAAAAAGATTGTGGTCCCTGGCCACGGTGTAGCAGTTCCAGCGGTGGTTCTGGAACTGATGCTGGCACTCTGAGATCCAGTTCTTCATCCCGAACCCGATGGCCTGCATCACTTTGGGGTATTGGCTGCCGCTGCTTGTTCACCAGACCAGGGATGTTGTCACACATCACCTGAGACCCCAGGGTGCCCATGTACCTGCAGAGCAGAGAGGCGGACAGTCAGGAAGCTGAAATGGTTTATAATGCTGTTCAAAAATATTTTTGTTCATGTGTGGACAGGGATGAAAAGACTGGCACTGAATTTAGTCACTGACTTGCCTCAGTTATTTCAAAGTCAGAAATTATAAGAAAATTGTGAAACATTTCTGCCAACAAAAGTTCAAATATCTAAATATGTCTGCACATCCCGGTAGCAGCAGTATAAAAGGATGACTGAAGCTTTGTATAAGTCTACAGTTAAACTCTGCACAAACACAAAACCAGTGAGAAAACTATGGACAGAGCAAACAGGTGTCTGCTTGAAAACCCAGTGTTGAAACTCTTCCCCTAACGAGTCCACACTCCCATGTACCTTCAGAACGAGGTGATGAAAGACTCTCAGGGAATTTTAACACTGGGAGTTTGGGGTATTTTCTTAAACAATTAGAAACCACATCAGCCAGAAAAAAAGGGAACTGAGGAAAACTATCTATCCAAGAGGGTAAATAAAGGAAAATCATTTGAAACGACGTTAACATGGAAACTTTTAACAGTTTTGAAGGTAATTTAGACATTTGACAGAAATACTTTAAGGGGGAGTTTAAGGCAGATTAAACGGCGCTCAGCAGTTTAATGTGGCACTTCAATTAAAAAACCCAAACACTCAGAAAATGTGCTTGTGCAATTGCATCTGAATAAATATATAAATGAAATGTACTGTACTCACCACCAGGACGCATCGACCTCCGTCGTCAGCCAGCAGACTGCCACAGATAAATAGAAACATATTCCGCTTGGCAGTAAATTCATATTAACCAAACTCTGGCTCTTTATGCGTCTGGACGCAGCATTTCCACGGATGAAAGAAAAATATAAAACAGAGAAATCACAACCTGTTGAGTCTCTTTAACACGCTTGGATTAAGGATATACCATCACGGGACGGTGGACGGAGGTTTGCGCGTAAAAGCCATGGCTGGCTCGGGCTGTGCGCGATGGCAAAGTGCTTAAGATGAAAAAGTAAAGCCGTCTGTCTGACAGTCCAGCAGAGATAGGCAGATGATGTGCTATCGGGTTTAAATTGCTTTACACAAAGGGTGGGCGCAGTCCCGTCTCAGGAATGAGATGTCTCAGAGTTATCTGTTCAGGCTGGTTTGACACCAGACAGGCTTGGCCCGCGTCCAGCCCGGAGCTCCATGGCTGATGGACTCGACGCGCACTGCACCGACGCGCTGTAGGAGCCGGCCTGTGGGAGGACTCCTCCTGCTCACACAGCCAATGTCAGTCAGCAGAAAAACACACAACCTGGGACAAAAAACGAAGCAGAAACCGTCGAGCGGGGATTCAGGGTGTATAACGCCCTCAAAGTCAGGAAACACGACGTCTGCGCACTTTTATCATCTCGTGGGAAGAAGACTGACCTCTTTAGCACAGGATATATTTCTTTGCGCACGGTATTTCTTAGGAAAAGTCTATCTTTCACGAGCTCGGGAACAGTAGAGGTCACTGACACAGACTAATTTATTATTCATTGATCTGAGGGCCGATCATTCAGCTACAACCGCCTTACAGAATGACCCGTCTCCTCTGGGAGCTCATGTAGCTCATTTTCATTACTCAGTAACTTTAATTTTAGGCCAAAACTCGAGAAAACCCTACTTAATACGAGACAGCTCACTGACTTACTGAAATGATCCACAAGTGCCAAATACTTCTGCTGGCCAAAGCATGACGCACTGTTATTTTACAGCAATGAGTCAGTCTAACTCAGGAATGAGTTTAAAACAATCACACTGATTCTCCCACCTAAAGGTGATGTGTCCATTTTAATTGGATTATCTATCACAGCCTTTTTTAAGTGTCTCTGGAAATCAGTACCACCGTCACACAGTATTTCCTCCATCTTTGATCTGGCCCTGGTGTCACCGGAGACCCTGACCACATGAGATTAGTGGGCAAATTGGATTTTCTCCATGATCCCCGTGGAAGAAAACCAAAGACCACTTTGTATTTGCTGCAGCACAAGTCTATAGTATCAGTCCAGTCTGACTGGAGAAATCTGTTCCCCCCTTTAACAACGAGCATCAAGGCTGGTCATTGTATTTAACATGTTTAATGAAGAGAAAATGACGTTTAAAGTAAATTCAAATTATGTTTTGAGGTTCAGTTTCTGGATTAAAAAATATTTTTTAAACTGAAAACAATTAGTTAACATTAGGATATTTCACACGGTGACTGAACCTGGGGGTTCCTGGGGTTTCTCCAGCATAGGAACCTAGCCAAACATTCTGAAACAGGTAACACTTGGACTCTCAAACAGTCCTAAAACAAGTGAAGGCAGCAGATCCGCTGCAGTCCAACAGAAAATACTATGATGGACCTCATTAACTGAAGGAGAGACATTAAAAGATATTCCTGTGGGTCTGCAGCTAAACCTTCCCACTGAAAGCTTGGTAGAAGAGCAAGAGGAAGGTGGCTCCAAGGGCGCTCAGTGCCACTCTGGTTAGAAACTGCATCCTCCAGTTGCCACGGGAACCAGGCTGAGGAAGATGACAGCAATCTCCAGCTTCGTTCATCTGAGGGAGGAGGACGGAGACAGATTCACATGGTAAACATACACACAATGTGAAAAGACAGAACCCTGTGGTTACAGCGGCCTCATGCTGGAGGGGTTGCTGGTCATTTTACTCTGATCCAGCCTGGTTTATGGCAGTGTACTGGTCAGACGTCTTCAGGCCAGGTAAGTCTGAGAGGTTGGGAAACATGGGCTCAGTTACTGTAGGATGGGAATCAGAGAGCAGCTCATTGTGAGTGTGAGGGCATGTCTGGTCCCGTCGCAGCAACACAACATGATTCACCAAAACATCCTGTGCCAAATCCTCACAGACTCATCAGCCAAATGCAGTCGGGTCTTGGTCACGGAGGAATACTGCTGTTCCTGAACTCTTAAGTCAGCGGCTGACACAGTGTCACACTGAATTCCTGTCGTGTGAGAAAGCTGGAAGAAACAACACGGTTAACTTCAGATTTCTTCTGGTAAATATGACTTGAGAACTTTCAGTTTGGGAATGAACCCAGATTTATGTAACTTCCTGATTTCCGAGGTCATCAAAATGTTTCTAGTACGAGCTGGGAAGGCATTTTCCCACCACACACAGATGCAGCACTGATGCTGAATCCAAGGTTATAGAGTTGTGAAGTGGGAGGCGCTGCCCGGCATTTTCCCCATCTGAGTTTTTCTTTACACATTATCCTCAGCGTTGTTACAGAAACAGGACACTCCCCCACATAATGTCACCATCCTGTAGTTTATGTTCAGGTCAGCGTCTATGGTGTCAGCTGCTCCAACAAACAACAATAATAACAATTTTTTAATTTCCAATCCAGTTCTGTGCTACTGATTCATATGTTTAGTCGGACAGTTTCTCCACAACACGGCTAAATACACTGCTCCCATGTCTTAACTGAGGCTGGCCCAGGAGGACAGGGAGTGAAGACTGCTGACTACTTAACTGCAACATCCTCAGTTTGGCGTCCAGCTGTAGCACACCTTACTCTCTCCACTCATTTCCTGCCTACTGAAATGGCTCCAAACACTGCTGTCTTTCACTAAACAGCATGCTTGAAACTTTTCAGAACCACTTGTTGAGCCCAAAGGGGGCAAATATTTGATACTTAAAACATTTTACTCAGTAAAATCTTGAAATTAACCCAGAATTCACTAAAGAAGCCTCAGTAAAGAGGTTTAAACAGAGGTATTATTCTTTTTGTAATTTAAAGCCATTCTCAGACTTTGATGCTTCCTGGTTTATCGAGACCATTTGCAGGCAGCCATGATACAGTCACCTACAGTCGACACATAATTAATCTGATTAGAGATTAAACACTTAAACACTATCTAGACTGATTGGCTGAAAGCATGCGAGACCAGAAATAATGCAGTGCTTCACTGTAAACTGAGGGGCCAAAGCCATCTGATTTAATGTAAATATACATTAATGATCATCTCCTAACACTACCTTTCTTTTGTCATTTGAATTTATACATCTTTACTGTGAAAATGAAATTTATGGTTAGCATAAACTGTGCTAGACGCTGGTTAATGTAGAATTTCCTGTTGCTGCTGATAAAGGTTGATCAAATTTGATTACTATGTTTAAAAGCCCACTGCTGTTCTCCCATGTGCTTTTCACTAGTTTACCAAGTATCACATTTATCAAAGTCAACACTAGGTGGCAGCGAACAGCACCATTAGTATTAATGGTTCTGAGTGTGTGTCCCATCGTGTGGAGCTCCAGCTCCACAGTCCTACTGTGGTTGTGATTTCAGAGATGAGGTTCTCTAGATTAGGTTACATTCTGTACATGTGAAGGGCCCTTACTCCCCAGGCTGGGAGCCAGTGGGTCCAAATGGACTCCATTGGCTGTCAGATTCCTGTCTGACACACACACAAAAAAACTCCAAATGGTGATATCAACATGCACACACAAATATCTAGCTACATGAGAATCATACTAACACCTCTATCTGCTGCTAACGCACCTCCTTTGCCCACCCCGTACCACCACCTCTTCCCATCCCCTTTCTCCCAGTTTAAACTCCCTCACCCCGCCAACCTGCGCCTTTGCCTCAGTTCCCTGTGCCCCCAGCCTCCCCTTTCCATCAGCCCGCTCATCGTCTATGTGCTGACAGGCCGATGTCACAGCAGTGCTGACTTATGAGCTGTGAGGACTCAGCCCTGTCAGGAACGACTCCTCTTAAAATACAAACGCAAACGCGCACACTCGCATGGAGTCAGGTGCACACGTGCAGGCACTCTCGCGCATACCTGTTGGAGCTCATCACAATTCATATACACCAACATCTAAGACAGACACCGTGCTCTGCTAACGCTGCTTTAATCCTGAGTAGTAAGAGGAAAACTGTCAAAATACCAGGCAACAGTCTAAGGAAGGAACCTGGATTCACTTGTGTGAATGTGTGTGTGCCT